TCTGGGTTGGCCATGTGACTTGCTTTGCTCAATGGAAAATTAGCCATATGTGACACAAACAGAGACTCAAAAAGCCCTTGAACGGTGGAGTTTGCCTGTTTGCTACTCTTGGAACCCTGAGACCACCAAATGAATAAGTCCAAGTTAGCCTGCCAAATGAGAAACATGAGGCCCAGCACTCCCAGCTGACAGACAGCCAAAGTCAGATATTTAAGTGAGGCCGTCAACCACTAGCATGGTGCAGAAACATAAATAAGCCCAGTCGAGACGAGCAGAATTACTCAACTGAGCCCACGCCAAACAGCCTACCTACAGAATCATAAGCAAAGAAGTTGTTATTTTAATTCACTAAGTTAGCAAAAGGTAATGGATACAAATATTTATGGAATCTGATTCACAGAAAGAATCCAGAACCTCTACAGAAAAATACAAGCTTTTAAAAGCACAAAGAAATTTTATTTAAAACCTGTTACTGGTGTCTAGGGGCAAGTAAATTTTGCATGATGGGTTTAGTTGAGGAGTACTGGAAGTTGCTATACAGAAACCTGACAAGACCAACTGAGAGATGTGTTATTTTCCTGCAGTGGTATCTAAAATCACAGAAACTGGCAAAAGTTCTTTTTTCTATCCTTTCCTGTAGAGTCAAGAGAAGACAAATCATATCTTCGGTAAAGATGGGTAAAACATCACTGTGGACCAAGGAGTTTACGATGCAAAACTCGAATACTGAAGAGTACCAGTGACACTCTTAGAGCTCCTTCCAAAGAACACTGAGACTTTATAAGTCTGTAAATAGAGTGGATCTAGTAAGGCAAAATTAAAAAAAAAAAAAAAAAAGAATGGCAGGGAGGGTAAATATTACTAAAGAACAAGGTTTAGATCTATGAACAATGGCTTAAAATACTGAAATGATACGTTCATGTCCAGTGATAAGGTGCATCTCATAAAGCAGGGAAGGGCATATTTGTCTGGCCTTATATTACTGAAGAGAGGGAGAAAGGAAAACAAACAAAACTAAACTCTGAATTTAGTTACTACTCAGAGCTTTAAGTCTGAAATGAAAAGAGAAAACAAGTGAGGGTAGGCTATCAATTGTTCACACGAGAAAATAACTGAGAGTGAAAAACTGCATTTATAGCTTCAGATACATTTATACCTGACATTTCTTTTTACAGGCAGTATATTGTGGCTTTCAGAGCATCAACTCTGGAGTCAAACGCCCTAGGTTTAAAAACAGCTGTCATTAACCAGCTACGGCACCTTGGGAAAGTTATTTAATCTTTCCATGCTTTAAGTTCTTCATTTGTAAAACAGGAAAAGTACCCACCTCATAAGAAATTTTCTATAAATATATGCTCTTATAACTATTCTTGTGGTGGTGGTTATAGTTGCAATGAACAAAGAAGGCATCATAAAGTAAACTTGGAGCATGTGATTAGTAAAAACAATGTAACAAATATTACTGTGATTTAGTGAAAATCACATATTAACTCCTTTAATCCTCAGAAAATTTCTATTGTGTCCATCTTGCAGATGAAAGGCTAGGCCCAGAAATGGTATATAATTTATCCAAAATCGCATAACTAATGTCAGAGCCAAACTTTGTAGACAATATGCATCCAGCATTTGTGTTCTTCTCTTAACTCCTACATGGTGATACTAGCTTCCAGGAATGGGACTCATGATAGAATACAGAGATAGACAGAAACTCTCTAGATAGCTACTTGGGGGAAAACTGACCCTTATTTCACATCATACATAGAAATCAATTCCAAATGGACTGTGGATCTAAATACAAAAGGTAGAAGGAAAAAAACTTCTAAAGACACACAAAATTATCTGTATGATTATGAGTAGCAACTGATTTCTTAAGCAACACAAAAAGCACAAACCATTGGAGAATATAAATGAACATATTTCACTTCAGAACTTTTATTCATCAAAATCATTTGAGAGAGACTGCAAGTAAGAAAGTGAAGAAATTTGCTGCACATATAACAAAAAGCTCATAATCAGAAAACTAAAAAACAAAATAAAAAATCATAAACCAATTAAAAATATAGACTTCATGAAAGAGACATCCAAATAGCCAATAAACATACAAAAAAGTGTTCAATCTCACTGGTCATCAGGGAGATGCAAAGTGAAATGATGAGATACCACTATACATAAACCAGAATGGCTATAATTATAAAAACTGACAGGACCAAGTATTGATAAAGATGTAGAACTATGAGGACTACCAAACATGGCTGGTGAGACTATAAACAACTGTTGTGGAAAACAAATTATGACCCAGTATTTCCACTCAAAGGTATACACCCATCAGAAGTACATGTATACCAAAAGACTACAGCAATATTCAGTGTAGTATTATTCAAAATAGCCCCAAACAGGAAATAACCCAAAAGCCTATCAACAACTGACTAGATAAATTGTAGTATGTTCATACAATAGACTACAGTACAATGAAAATGAAGGAACTACAGACATGAAGAGGGATAAATGTCATAAACATAACAGTGAAATAGGATAGACAAAAATGAATGCATACTATAATACCATAAAGTTCAAAAACAAGTCAAGACTATGGGATTATTAATCAACACTCCTGAGGTTAACAGGAGTAGAAATTAAGAGGATGTACTATGAGGGCTCTGGGGTGCTGTAATGTTTCTATTTCTTGACTTGGATACATTTACCTTGTATAATTAACTGAAATGTACATTTATGACTCGGGTTCTTTTTTCTATGTATGTTGTAATAAAAACTGATTTTAAAAATATACTCATGCTATGTCAAAAAAAGCACTCTCTGAGCAGCTAGTTGTTTCTCAAAAATACCTTAAAAACAAGGATGTAGTCTACAAACCATTACATTAGTTTTATATTATCCAAGTCGTATCTTTAAATCACACACACACATACATACACTCTAGACCTACTATGTGTGGAATCCTATTATAATCTGTGCTATCTCAAACTAACCTCATTTGAAGAAGCACAGCCTAGCTGATTTTTTTAAATATTCTGACTTACAATACGCCAACAGAAGTAATATCCTCTATTATACATAATAAAAATACACTAAAGTGACTTTAAATAATATGATCGTGGGGGCACTGAATTTTTTTAATCTCCCCAACCTTCTCCAACCAGGAGTACAAAAACAAAGAAAAAGCACGAAAAACAAAATAACAGAAAACAAGCCCAAAAAGAACATCTTCAAAAAAACTACATTACAGGTAATCCTCCAAAACCCTGTAATGTGGTTTTTATCACCAACAGTGGCAGGACCTCCAAAAGATCAATGGCTGTATGATAGGAGTATGTATGGTAGGATGGACAACCTACTACTCTACAAGCCACAGAAATGAAAAAAATGTGAATTGATGAATCTGCAAATGGCCTGCAAAACCAGGACAGTCTCAAAAGCTCCAAATCAAATGTGACGTTATACAAGTCTAACAGCCTACAACCTCAAAATCTCTAAAATGTCCAGCAAACACTCTTCCAGGAGGAAAAAAACCTCACACTGAAGGATAATCACCCCCAATTGAAACCAAAACAGGGCAGAAACACTAGGGGTAAAAGGGAGATATGGTTCAGATAAGGGAAAGGAGTGGATGAGAGGAAGGTAGTGATGTCCACAGGCAGCAAATCCCAGAATAAAATAAAACAACAAAATGCAACATTTCAAGCTGAGAGCAACACCTCAAAATTCAAGATCTACAGAGCTCTAAGAGTAGAACAGAAGGCTGAAGACAGAAAATCTTTCTGAACCAGACTAGTTCTGAGAAAGACTGTGTATACAGAAAGGTCATATTTAAATTCTCTGTAACAAAAAGGAAGCCATAAAAAGACAAGTTGGGAAAGTTATCCTATCTCTGATGCCCTCACTCCACAGAAACCCTCTCCTAATAAAAACTATCCGATTTAAACAAGGAGAACAGCAAAAACAAAATGATTAACTCCATAAAAAAATTAATACAGAAAATAACAGAAAAAGATTTGAAAGAAAATGAATGACAGAGGAAAGAGGTGAGAAAAGAAATCTAATAAACTTATAATTAGAGACCTGAAAAAAAATCTTGGGCTATCAAACAGAAAAAAATATTTAACACAAAGCAACTCTTCTCAGATTAAAAGAGGATTAAATTTACATATTAAGTGGGTCTATTGTGCATTTGGGAAAACTGACCCAATAACAATCAACAAAACATACTGCAGTAAAACTACTGGATTTTAATGATAAAGAAAAAAATTCCTTTGGACATCTGGACAAAAAGTCTAAGTCACTTAGGCAAAGAAAATCAGGATGGAATAAGACTTAACAGCAATATTTTATCCTAAAACACAATGGAACAATATGTTTAAAATACTTAAGTAAATATAAGCCAAAGGTTATATTAAAAGCCAAACTATCCCTCAAATATAAAGACTACAGAGAAATAAGTTTATAAATGTGCAAGATGTAAGAAGATTTTATTTTGCCATGAGCTCTTCCTGGAGAATCTCCTACGGACAAGCTTCAGAAAACGAAGAAAAGAAATGCGTGAAGAAATTTCAGCTAAGATCTGACATGTAAGCAGAGTACAAAAACTTTTTTATATAGTCTGGATAGTTTACATTTAGGCTTTTCTTCCTCCCTTTTAATTACTTGAGATACTCTAATTAATAATATGTTACACACCCAATCTGCTTCTGAAATACACTGCACAATTTATTTACCTTTTCTGGATTTTTAGAATTACTTTTTATTTGCCAAATGCTGACTACTGAAATTTCCAGATAATAAGGCTACTTATGGGATCATAACAGGGTAACGAACTTCTTTTGAAAAAAGAAAAAAATAAGTGATCCTACAAGTTAATTCTACACAATTAAAACACATTTGATTAAGACCAAAAGACATAAAAGTCCAATGATAGACATTTGGCTTTGTAGTTTAAGAAATATATTAACTGACCTATATGATAATATAAAATTATCAATACTGACCTGATAAGCTCTGTTTATTTGACTAGCTGCCCAACTAGCATATTTCATGTTGTCCTTTTTTGTTTTTGCACTTGCTTTTGGATTAGAAGCAATATGACTTGCCGACTAAAAACAAAAAAGAAACATCAAAAACAAAATTCCTTTTTTCTAGCCAAGATAATAATAATAAAAAAAATGTAAGGGTCATATTTGCAATGGGATAACAAAGAGTACCAAAACAATTTTAAAAATAAAATGGAATGGAATTTGTGTTTAAAAATGAAAATATAGTTTAAAATATAGAATAAAGTGACAAAAAGAGAAAGAGCATCTTAAATACCTAAATTTATTTTATTAGTTATCTACCACAACTCTTAATGGTAAAATTAAATACCTAAATACTATAGAATATCACTTAAATACTGTAGAATATTGAAGGTCATTATTATTGTTATTAAATTACTATTTCTAGTTCTTTATTACTATATTACTTCAGCTTTCCTATGTCAGAATTATAGAATTATTGAATATTGATGTAAGAAGGAATATCAAAAATAATTTAGTCCAATTTCCTACATTAATGGGTAAAAAAAATTTAAGTCCAAAAGGAGTGATGTGACTTGACCAAAGCAAGTTACTGAAAGCCTTAAAAATAGAAAGAGATCCTCATTTCCAATCTAGTCCTCTTTTCACTTTACCAAGAGTTTCCAAACTATGTTGCACAGTACCAGTTAGAATGACTGCAATTTGATCAATCCATCCTCTCCTTTTAAAAAATGTACTTAAACAAGGGATTGTTAATCTAGAATCCATGAAAGAATCTGTAAACAACCAAAATTAAATACTAATTTTTAAGCATATATTGTATTTCTGGGAAGAGGAAGATCTTTTATCTTAAGTTTAAATATATCTTATTCTTAAGAGGATTCATTCATGTGATTTAAAAAAAAAAATTAAGACTTTCTTTTATACCTAGCCTGTGTGACAGGCTCTTTCCCACTCTCTCCTCCTCTGTCAGTGAGGAATTTAGGCATTTATTGGCCAAAATCTTATTTTTACACCTGTATGTATTTAATGTCACCTCTTTCATATGAATTTTAGCAAATGCAGTGATTAAGAAAATGACTCTGGAATCAACTCACGGAGCTGATATCCCAGCTCAATCACTTAGTAAGTCTGTGATCATCTTTCAACAAATTAACTAGACCTCTCTGTGTCTTAGGTTCACTTTCTATGAAATGGTAGTAATAACAGTATCTTCTCAAATAGTTGATATGAGGACTTAATGATTTAAAATTAAAAAAGAGCTTAAAACAATGCCTAGCACATAAAGTGTTATGTATAAACTATCATTAATAATCTATTGTAATACATTTTTTAAATTAATTTTTCATTTATTTGGTAAAAAGAGACAACACCGCTACTATACTGTACCTCTAACCTACTACACTGGGCACTGGTAGATCCAGGAAAAATTTCTTGAAATTCCTTTGAACTATTTTCTAATCATATTTTGCCATTCCTTTCCTAAAAATTATTTCATTTATATTTCTTCCTGCCTCTATTTCTGCAATCGATTCTTTTTCACTGAGCCCCGACAAGACATTCATCCAAAAGTCCTTGAAAAGACCAGGATAAATTAAAATTTCAAAGAACTGGCCTATTAAAAAGAGGTTTTCTGGTTGTAGGGAGGGGCTTATTTTATGTATATTTTAAAGCTCAGCAAATTCTTCCTCTATATCCCATAGCTCTTGTTAATTGACTTTTCTAAGCTCGTCATTTGGCATACATAAACCATAGAAATATTTAATTACATGCTTCCCACAATTTCCAAGCTTTTTTTTGTACCATAAAAAAATTTTAATTTGACAGTAGAGATTTTTTTTGCTAATGTCTTTTATTGCATAGTTTAAAACTATGTCATACAATTATAACTTAAGGTAAGAAATACAAAATAATGTTGGGCATAAACCCAAGAATATCAAAACAATTAAGATACAAATTATGGTTTTGTATCTGTTCCTATTTAATAAAAAGGCAGATTTAAATTCTGATACAATAGAAGATATTTTATAATAAAACATCAAATAGTTAGGATGTATTAACATTTAAAAATAAAATTGCCTTACAACCTATTGCTCATATTTAACGAAAGGAAAAAAATATACTTATCAACAAAATACAAACAAGGGGGAAGTGACTGGATGGGATAGTTAATGGACTTTAAATGACAGACTTCATAAAATAACATTAAACATGCACCTCTACTCACCATGTAAAGCCCAAACAAAGCTCTCATATTTCTGTTGTTCAGTTTCAGTGCCTGAGCAAAATACTTTCTTGAAAGTTCGAGGTTTTCAAGTCCACCCTGGGTATATTTAACCTGTTAAAAATTGCAGAGTGCTGAAACCTGTTTATTTTACTACTTTGAAATATAGCATGTTTCATCATACCATAGGCAATAGTAATTGAAACAGATATTTTGTAAACAAATGCAAGATGTTAAAAGAATTCATCTTAAAGTTGTTAAAGCTAAATTTTAAAGCATAACCTCCCTGAAAAACCTATTCTATGAACATTAAGATCACAGAGTATTTTTTAAAACAAAATGTTGTCAATAAGAAAGCCAATATAATTTCTTTTTTAGCTGCCTTGCTAACGCCTCACAACTTTATATTTTCTATTAGTAGCATTCTAAATCTATACTTACATACTGAGTCGCCCTTTTCTAGTCACCTTGACATTCATTATTAATGAAATGCTTCTAACCTTATAGCATTCAAGCCATTAAATGGTGACAACTGTGGCATCATTAATTCATAATTAGGAAAGAAAATATACAATAAAAAATACAAAGAATTTCACTGTTTTAAGTAAGCGCTTTTATTTTTAAAGCCATATTCCCATTATAATATTAAAAAGGTAAAGCTTTTACACCTACAGTCAGGTTTCATCAGATGTCTTAAATATTTATATATGTGCCTCACATTAAGGACATATTCTTAGCTCCAAAATAATACCTAACACCAACAAAAATAAAATCATATACAACTGTTGTTTTTGAAAGCACTTACTTCAGCATACTGCTGACAGTATAAGTGGTTGTGTGGATTAGTCATCATTAGCTCCTCTAAACAAAAGGCTGCTTTAGCATAGCTGAAAAATATGAAGAGGAGAAATCAATTTTAAAAGTCACATATGCCATCTTAGCTAAAATAAAAATAATTAAAAATAATTTAAAGCAATGCTGGAAAATAATTTTAAAACAATTTTAGTGATGTTAGACATTTTATTCCCCAAATTTAAAAGCTTCAGTAATAATATATTTGCTATGCTGAATTCTTAAATACAAATAACAAAGGCTTAAATTCTGAGGCAGCCTATGAACAATCAGTAGATACTACATTCTTAAAACTGGGTCACTATTATGACATCCAAACATTATTCACAACACAGACTTCACAACCTTGGATCAGGTTACATATAAAATAATTTCAAGTCCATTGACCACTGAATAAAATATTCAAATAGCTAAAGGGTAAAGAGGAAATAAACATTTTATTAAATACTATCTATTTACAAAAATCCTTTATTGACACCTATTTACCAACATATTCTATGATAAAGACTTTTCATTACTTGTTTGCCAATATGAAATTCTAATGAAGTTATAAATTTTTAAACGCATGAAAAATAGATCAAGTTAGTGGTTTTGATATGCACTCTACTACTATTTCATCATGTGGTGAAGAAACAAACATCTTGCTAAAAACCTGAGGAGAGGACTGCTACAAAGGGTTTTACACCACATGACTGTAATTCCTCTCAATGTATTTTATAAGTTTAAAGCAATGCAAATATCACCACTATTTATAGGAAATCCTAAAGAACAAAGGTGCTGTAAAATTTATTTCCAGTGAAAGGTGACAACAGTACCCAACACAAAAAGGCTACCTACAGTTATTTTTAGCATTTGTCACCAACATACAAAGCTACCTGTCTTTACACTAAGTCTGATATACTTACTTTTCAAAATATACATGCTGCAGTTTCACATAATGTGTACTAATAACAGCTAACTTGTATTATTAGTGCTCATTATGTATCATGCACTTCTCTGGGTGTGTTATATATATTAATTCATTTAATCCTACCAAAACCCTGGGAAGTAGGAAATTATCACCATTTTATAGTTGAAAAGGCACAAGATGCAAACTGAAACCTAGGCTGTGCCACTCCAGACAGCCTACTCTTAACCACTATGCATACTGCCTCTATGTACTCCACACAGTGAAAAATCGTGGTAATGATGGGAGTGATGAAGAGGTCAATGGTAACATAAAAATGGGTACAACAGTCAAACCCAAAGGGCCTGAGAAACGAAAAACACCCTATAGATTACCAAAAATCATAGCATTTTAGATGTATATATACATACTGTTATCAAGGATCATACAGCTATATAGCCTTTTTCATTTTTATACCCAAAACCTCGCACTGGTTCCTGACATGTGATAGGTATATAATAAATGCCTGAACAAATGACTGAAGAGATGTCTAGAACAAAAGTATTATAACTACCTATCTGATATATATTTATCATTTTTTTTTAAAGATTTTATTTATTTATTTGAGAGAGAGAGAATGAGAGAGAGAGCACACGAGAGGGGGGAGGGTCAGAGAGAGAAGCAGACTCCCTGCCGAGCAGGGAGCCCGATGCGGGACTCGATCCCGGGACTCCAGGATCATGACCTG